TCTGAAGGGCAATTTCTGCTTCTTCTTCTCCTTTCCCTCCTCCATCTTCAATCGGAGATGGAGAAGGAGAGGGAAAAACGCAGAAATAAAAGACACCCCGTAAGTTGAGACATACTGAATTTTTATGTGTGACCACCAACGAAAAAGGATGATCAAAGGATGTAGGAAGTAATAAGTATGATACTGAATGCATGCTCTGACTCCAAATCTTGCCCACATTCACCTTCTTTCACTCAATCATTGAATCCATTTATTGAATTCCTACTTTTTCACTATTTAAAGATTATACTGCTGTGAAAGTATACTCTTCAATAGTAGACACTAGGCACACCTGTGAAGACAGACAAGGAGAGTCTCTGCTTTCATAGTTAATATGCTATTATGTTGGAAGGTATGCTTGTGTGGCAGGGGCTGAGGTGGAGAAACTGACCATATAATTTTGGATGGTAAGTGACACAAAGAAAATAAATCACTGATGTATTTGTATAAGTGACTGAAGACTACTTTACATTGGATTCAATGTTCCCATCTAAGTGACCTCTGAGTGAAATGTAAACTACAAGGTGCACTCGCTGCCCCATTAGGATCCAGAAAAGTATTAAAGACGGTTAACAGCGAGCACCAGGTCCTTAAGAGAGTACAATAATTCCCCCTCTCTGAGAAGGATACATTCCAAAACCCCCAGTGGATGCCTGAAACCATGAATGGTACTGAATTCTGTATATATTATGTTTTCCTAGACATACATACCTATGATAGATAATTGATAAACTAGGCACAGTACGAGACTAACAATAGGTCAATTATAATAATCTCTATATATAAAACCCTAGTATGCAAAAAGACCAAATGGCCAAACAGCTGAACAACCAGTCACTATGACGTGCACTGAGCACCAGAGGGTGTGCGCAGAACATGGCAGGCGTCAGCAGCAGGCAGCAGAGCATGGGACCATGGCAGGTGTGGCCGTGATGGGATGGTGGAGCAGGTGAGTGGGGGCGCCAGGCGAAGGCAGGGTGCCGGCCACTGTCATTGGGGCAAGGCTCTGATGGTTACTGAAAATGCTTTGCTTCCGCATGCTGTGGTCCTGCCTGCTGCTCACACCTGCTGCTGGTACCAGAGTCACCACTTGTAACCACTGCTGGTGATAAGGCTAAAAAGGGCTAATTCCAAGGTAACCCTGATATTTGGGGGATAGTGATCTGAATCCAAGCCAGCAAGCTCAGTGTACATTCCCGATAACCTATAATTAAGTCCCTCTCTCCTTCCCAGGTACTGGTCTTGCAGAACCTGTTACTGTGAACTGTGCACTGCCCCGAGGGAGGGTTGTTAACACTGGCACCAGGCCAGACCATCAGATATGGCCTGGAAACCCCCAACACCTGGGGCTTTCTTGCAAGGCCCGAGAAAAGGACTGGAAGCATAATCCATGTTTGTGGGACAAAGACCACAGGGAGGGAGATATAAAGGAAAGCCCCACGGGTGTTCCTTCACTCAGATTTGGAAGGCTGTTCCCTGAGTCCGCCGGCATATTGACCAGTGTCCCTCCTTTTCTTTGAAGCATCCTTCTTTTTCTTTGGTCTTCTGCAACATTGGTGCCCAGCATAGATCCTGATCACTGGGTGCCATCAGCGGGTGCAAGTGGTGGCTGCCAGCCCCAATTACCCCTGAGGGCTTCTCCAACTTTCCCTGCTACTGAGAGGCAATCTTGGCAGCAGCTGCCACTCACACCGGCCCCACTTGCACCTGCTGCTGGTGCCAACCCCAATTCCTCCACACATGGGAGCATTGGTGTTGGGAACAGGAGGTCACAGCAGGAGTAGCCGGGCAGGGATGTGGAGGTCTGAGATCCACCCCTGTGCCCACTGCAGACTCGTAGCTCACAGATCTTTTCAAGGTGCATGAATTCATGCACTGGGCCCCTAATATCCTATATAATAAAAGCCTAATATGCTAAGTGGCTGGTCAGCTGATTGGGCCGTTCAGCCAATCAAAGTGTAATATGCTTGCACAATCTACAATAGCTAGTATTTGGAAACAGCCTAGGTGCCCATCAGCAGATGATTGGATCAAAAAACTATGATATATCTACAAAATGGAATACTATGCTGCCATAAAAAAGGAATTCTCATCATTTGCAGCAACCTGGATGGAATTGGAGAACATCATGCTGAGTGAAACAAGCCAGTCAATGAAAGAGAAACACCACATGACCTCACTCATTTATGGATAATAAAGAACATTATAAACTGATGAACCAAAAGATAGATATAGAGACAGTAAAGCAACAAGCAGACTGTCAAATTACAGTGGGGAGGGTAAGGAGATCTGGGGGAGATAAGAGATCAACCGAAGGACTTGTATACATGCAGATAAGTACAACCAATGGACACAAAACTCTGGGGAAGGAGGGTATGTATGAGAGAGATGAGGTACAATGGTAAGATATGTACACAGATAATTAATTTTAAAAAAATAAGGAAAAACAAAAACAAAAGACCAAAGTGTAATATGCTAATGATATGCTAAGGCTACTCAATTGCTATGATTGGCACTGACCACCAGGGGGAAGACAGTTGACCAGTTGACCAGTCACTATGATGTACATTGACCACCAGGAGACAGACACCAACCAGTAGGTTAGCTTGCTGCTGGGGTTTGGCCAATTGGGACTGTGAGATGGGCCTGACATGCCCTGGAGTCCTTCCTTAGTCCCTTCCCAGTTGGCCAACCTCCTGTGTCCCTCCGTGGCCCTGATCATGCACTGGTGGGGGCCCTCAGCCTGGCCTGTGCCCTCTCACAATCCAGCACCCCTTGGGGGAATGTTGGAGAGCCACTTTTGGCCCAATCCCACAGGCCAGGCCAGGGGACCCCACTGATGCATGAATTCATGCACCAGGTGTCTAGTACTGTAATAAAAGTTATGTAAATATGGTCTTAAAATATCTTTTACAGTACTCACCCTTCTTGTGATGATGTGAGATGATACAATGTGAAGTAGGGTGAATGGCATATGCCTTGTGATATAGCTTGAACACAAACACTGGGATTCCCTGACAGTTGATCTCATACCCAAGACACCTACTAAATGACTAACAGGGTGAATACACTGCACAAAGTGATGTTCACATCCAAGCATACAATTTAAAATTTATGAAGCCCTGGCGGATTTTGCTCACTGTTTAGAGCATCTGCCTGCACATTGACAAGTCACAGGTTCAATTCTCAGTCAATGGCATGTACCTTGGTTATAGGCTCAATCTGGTTGGGACATGTGTACATGTGTGGGAGTCAACCAATTGATGTGTCTCCCTCACATTAATGTTTCTCTCTCTCTCTCTCTCTCTCTCTTTCTCTCTTTTCCTCTCCTCCCTTTTCCCTCCCTACTTCCCTCCATTCTCTCTTAAAAATAAATCAATGGAAAAAATATTCTTGTGTGAGGATTAACCAAAAAACAAAAAACAATAAAAAGTCCACAACAAAACAAAAGAAAACCTTATGAATTCCTTATTTCTGGAACTTCATTTACTATTAATATATTTTTATTGATTTCAAAGAGCAAAGGAGAGGGAGAGATAGAAACATCAATGATGAGAGAGAATCATTGATCAAGCCTGCAATCTGGGCATGTGCACTTGACCAGAGTCGAACCTGGGACCCCTGATCCACAGGCCAATGCTCTATCCACTGACCAAACCTGGCAGGGCTCATTTACTCTTTTTAATTTATGATTCACACTGTATATACTACCTGACCATTAGTCACTTAATAGGGGTCTTGGTTATCAGATCAACTGTCAGACTGTAGTTGACAGCAAATAACTGAAAGGTGAAAACTCAAACAGGAATGACTGTGTCCACCCCATGACCTTGAGGAACAGAAAGGCCAGAATATAGAAACTGCGGGCAAGTAAAACTAAACGAGGCGCAGTCGGTGGCAGCCAGATAATCTAATGTAGGCCTTTGTATGTAAGGAATTGGATTTTATACGGGAAGCCAGGAGTGATTTAGCAGACTTATTTTAAAAGCTCTAGCTACTTCGCTGGACATGAATTGGAAGTGACAAAAATGGAAGCTGTGGTAAAACTGGGAACAAAAATTCTAGTTTTCTGACTTCAAGGAAGGGCTGAGTATTTGCTAAGCACACCTTGCTGGCCTGGCTGTTCTAAGTGCTGAGGATGAGCAGAGTTCCTGCCTTCCTGGGGCCCACAGAGTAGTGGGCGGGGGTAAGAAGCAGCACGTGTGATGGTGTCCATATCTTAGCTGCAAGAGCTGGTAAGGACCCTGCAGACTGCCTAGTCCAAACTCCCTGGCCTGAGCGAGAATAAACTGCAGCCAGGTGAGTGGGATGCCCGCCAACTTTGAGAGAAAAAAAAGACCCAAGTTGCCCAAACCGGTTTGACTCAGTGGATAGAAGCATCGGCCTGCAGACTGAAGGGTCCCGGGTTCGAGTCCTATTGCGGGCACATCTGCACATCCCCAGTGGGGGGTGTGCAACAGGCGGCTGATCAGTGATTCTCTCTCATTGATGTTTCTAGCTCTAGCTCTCTCTTCCTCTCTGTAAAAAAATCAATCAATCTATCTATCTATCTATCTATCTATCTATCTATCTATCTATCTATCTATATATATTTATTTATTTTTTTAAGGCCCAGGCATTCCTCCTCCTCTTACCTCCTAATTGGCACCCACGTCCCCCTCTCTCCCCACCCCGTTCCTCGTTCCGGTCTCGGGAGAGTCAAGGGAACTAAGAGATAGTGGAAGTCTCACGGTCAAGACCCAATGAACCCCCCGCCGCCGCCGCAGCATCACCCAGTTTCCGAGAGGAAACCAGTGCGTCCTCTGCGGCGAGGGCGGGGCTCCAGGGAGGCGGGGCTCCAGGGGCGGGGCCTCGCCGCCAGCGGCTCTTCCGGCGCTAGCGCGGGATACCAAACCCGCGGTCCTGGGATTAGATTCGGCGGAAGCCCATGCTTCCGGGACTTCTGCTTCCGGGTCAGAGCCATGGCGGTGGCAAATTCAAGCCCTGTCAACCCCGTGGTGTTCTTCGATGTCAGCATTGGCGGCCAGGTGAGGCCCCGGGAGCCACCAGCCCCTCGCCGAAAGGAAACTGCACCGGGCTGGGCAGGCAGAACTCACCCGCCTCGGGATAGCGGGCTCGGGAAGCCGGATAGTGAATTTGTACCAGAACCTTCCGAACTGCGGGGCGTGGGGAGAGGGGTAGGGTGAGGCTTGCGCTTCCTAGCGCCCCGCGTGTGGCAGGTCTGGGCGGCACGGAGATATAGGCTAAAGGAGGCGGGGAGATCAGGTGCCTGGGGGAGGGAGGGGTCAGCCCTTGGTGGTCCCTGGCCCGGGAGGCCTTCCCGGGTTGGACTGGGCTTTCTGACCGTCTCCCGCCGGTTGCAGGAAGTTGGCCGGATGAAGATCGAACTTTTTGCCGACGTTGTGCCTAAGACAGCGGAGAACTTTAGGTGAGGATCTACTCCAGCTCCGCCTGATAAACCGAACCAGAACTCAGCCTGCGGAGTAGGTCTGAGTCCTCCGGGTAGCGCTCTGCCTGGACAGTCTCCGTTTTGACGGCCCCATGTCAGTTTATGTTGTTAATCCGTATGCCTGGGGGTCTGCACGTCTGGGAGGCCGATTGGTGGGCTTGCCGGAGGGGAGGGACGCTCACAGCTGTGATGTCATGGTGACTGAGCCCTTCACTCTTTTTCCCTTTCAGGCAGTTCTGCACTGGGGAATTCAGGTCAGTCTCAGACGTGGTTGACTTAACTGCTTGCGCCTGAGGGGTGTCCTGGGGCTGCAGTGAGGGTATTGGGGAACCACGATGGCCTTGAATGATTGCCGGTGACGGTAATTGAAGGTAATATCCCGCCGGTCTGTCTTCAGTTCATTTGCCTTTCTCTGTCTGGTCCCCACCATCTTTAGGAGAGTCCCTTTGGTTCAAATGTGTGGTAAGCTGGAAAGGCCTATGGGTACCTGACATCATTCCCAATCTTTCTTTTTGGTTATAGAAAAGATGGGGTTCCCATAGGATACAAAGGAAGCACTTTCCACAGGTAAGGCCCATGGCAGACATCCCAGGGGCTTTTGGGGTTACTTCCTTGGGGGATGTGTCTCTTTAGAAGAAAATAAAACCGTAGGATAATTCTTAGATGTTGAGAAGCAGTGTATTTGTGAACTCAAGGATTAATTTCAATTACAATGACCAAGTCAGTATTTTTCTTTTCTTTTTTTTTAAATCAGTGTTTTTCTAAACCTGAGTCTTAGCTCAGAATCTTTTGTTCTCTGTTTCAGAGTCATAAAGGATTTCATGATTCAGGGTGGAGATTTTGTTAATGTAAGTACTGTTCTTTCCTATCAAGGACTTATATGCTTGTTTTGTTTGTTTTTTTTTTTTGTTATTGCTAGGTCTACTGTTTTTACGGCAGGAACCATCTTCCTTCCCTTATTTATGTAACCTGCTCCACAGACAATGAAGTTTGCAACCCTTGGCTACTACTGACTGTGGTAGGACTTAGAGTGGCCATGTACTTTTTTTTGTTAGCTGTAAGAAGTGCTGTGAAGCTATTGTGAGCCTATACAATATAGGCTCCTGTATTGCCATATTGGCCTAGCAGGGACAGGACCAACTTTTTACTGATCATTGCTAGGCACACCCAATCACTTGCTGATTAGCCCCAGGATTAGACAATAGTTGGTCAGCCAGAAGGCTGAGTATCAGAGAGAAGCAATTGCTCAGAGCCACCTATCTTTCTAGAGGCCCAGTGTGACCTCTCTTATCCAATCTGTGAGACAGTCTGACCAGTTTGTGGGCTGCAGGTGCCTTGAAAGGGGCTTGCTTTGATTGCAGGATAGGAACAAAGAGGTGTGGCTCCCAAAGTGGCCAACAGGAGTGGACTTCAAGGACGTCCACCAGGATCGAGGTGCAGCAGCTGTCTTTTCCAGCCTCTGGGGGCCCAGCACTTACAAGTTGCTAACACTTCCCTTCTGTTTGCTCAGGGAGATGGTACTGGAGTTGCCAGCATTTACCGGGGGCCATTTGCAGATGAAAATTTTAAACTTAGACACTCAGCTCCAGGCCTGCTTTCCATGGTAAGTGAGGTCCAATCAAGATTTTGGGTTATATTTATAGCCAGCTGGTTTCTGGGCCCCTCTTGAGGCTCAGTGCTGTGTCTTTAAATGGAAGCAAATGCTGTCGAAACTGGTTTGGCTCAGTGGATAGAGCGTCAGTCTGCGGACTGAAAGGTCCCAGGTTCGATTCCGGTCAAGGGCATGTACCTTGGTTGCGGGCACATCCCCAGTGGAGGGTGTGCAAGAGGCAGCTGGTCGATGTTTCTCTCTCATTGACGTTTCTAGCTCTCTGTCCCTCTACCTTCTTCTCTGTAAAAAATCGATAAAATGTATTTTTTTTAAAAAGTAATAAATAAAGAAAACTTAAGAAAAATAAATTTTTAAAAAATGGAAGCAAATGCTTTTCTTGCTCATTCCAAGATTTACCTCTGCCATGCCTACTTTTTTCATCAGTCTGATTTGATTTTGTTGGGCTGGGGAAATGAAACTGAACTCTGCTATGTGTTTCCGTCCTTTTTTTAAAATGTTTTTATTGAATTCATGAAAGAGAGAAAGGGAGAGAGAGAGAGAGAAACATCGATGAGAGAGAAGCATTGATCAGCTGCCTCCTGTATGACTCCCAACGGGGATCAAGCCTACAACCTGAGCATGTGCCCTGACCCAGAATTGAACTGGCAACTTCTTGGTGCATGGGTTATTGCTCAACCAACTGAGCCACATGACCTTTTGTTTGAGTCAAAACATGTGGCTGGACATTTAGCCTTGCTGCTCAGAATGCACCCAGTTTTGCTTTCAAGATCCAATGTTCAGTCACTCAAGATCCAATGTTCAGTCGCTCATTGCCTGGCTTGCCAAGACTCATTGCCGGTCACTCACACTGCCTACTGGCTGGTCACTCCCTTTCATTCACTTACCTCTCCTTGCTCACCACTCCTCCTCCCTTGTCCTTATATTCCCTCCTCACATATAACACTCACACATGTCACTCTGCTTTCACACTTGAAACCCTTCATGTACTCTACCCCGCTTACTCTCCTTCATCCTCATTCCCCCTTCATTTCCTCTTATTCACCTTTCACTCCTCCTTTTCCCTTACCCCTCCCACTTTGTTTCTCTCACACTCTCTTCTCCCTCCTCCCTGCTCATTACCCATTTCCCTCTGTCAGTGTCCCAACTCTTAATCCCCTAGACCCAATATTTACATGCACATTCTCTGTCCTGTGTGCCTGCTCTGCCACTCATCTCAGGCAGTCATCAAGTAAAGATTTGTCAATATCCACTCTGTTTCAGGCTTCATGGTAAGGCATAAGATCTGATCCCTGCCTTTGTGTCACTTAATATCCAATGGCTTCACACGTGCAAAATGATAAGTCTAGTATAGTGTAATCCATTCCATCAGTGTATTAAGGTAAGGGCACTTTACTGCATGTGAGAGCCCTAACTGGTTTGGCTCAGTGAATAGAGCGTCAGCCTGCGGACTGAAGGGTCCCAGGTTCGATTCCAGTCAAGGGCATGTACCTTGGTTGTGGGCACATCCCCAGTGGGGAGTGTGCAAGAGGCAGCAGATTGATGTTTCTAACTCTCTATCCCTCTCCCTTCCTCTCTGTCAAAAAATCAATAAAATATATATTCTTAAAAAAAAAAAAAAAAATCCCATGAGAGCCTCAAGGAATGAGAATTATTGCTGCTGGGGGTTGGGCAAGGCTGCTTCGCAGAGGAGGGGACATTTGAGTTCTTGAAAGAGTTCTCTACCAGATGACATGAGACATAGTCGAGGGACAGAAAGTGAGGAAGGTGCTGAAAACAGGATGCGAATGATGGACACAGTGGCCAGTAGAGACCACTGCAGAGGCAGGTTACCTGACTCTTTCTTGATGGGCTTCAAGTGGCAGAATAAGGATGAGGTGTGTGGACTTTCTTTCATAGGTTATGGAGAGCCATGCACTTTTTTGAAGAGAGCTGATCAACTTTGTTTTTTAGATCAAAAACCCTAGCTGCAGTGTGAGTGGCAGGTGGGAATGGAGAGGCTGAGCCAGTCAGGAGCTGAGGGAGACCAGCACAGCAAACAAGCCCCCTTTTAGGAAAGCCAGGCTGGGCAAGTGCAGGTAAGGAGTAGAAAAGTGTCTTGGATCTTCCCTAGGATTAGAACCCCTCTAAGTGCATGCCATTATGTTAGCATCTATGGAAGAGTCAGGAAAATGGAAGGAAGTCCTGGTCTATGCATCCTTCAGGCTTACATTAGTTGAGTTGTGCTGTCACATTTTTTAAAAAATCCTCACCCAAGAATATATTCATTGGTTTTGAGAGAGAAAAACATTGATGTGAGAAACATCCATCGGTTGCCTCCCACTATGTGCCCCGACTGCAACCTGGATTTGTGTCTGACCAGGAATCGAACCTGGGATCTTTCCGTGTGCAGGACAATGTTCCAACTAAGCCACACTGGCCAGGGCCTGCCACATATCTTGTAGCATAATTGTTTTTGCTCCTCTCTTCCACTAAATTCTGAGTTTCTCAAGGGCAGGGACGGGTCTCATTGGTCTCTAAGCCTTATACCTGATACAGAAAGGTGTTGAGCAGATTTTAATTAGTGAGTGGAAGATAACCAGAATAATGACTAATGTTTATTGAGCACTTACTCAACAAGCATCTTAATTACATTAATTTATTTTAATCTTCTCAACATCTCTAAGATAGGTACAAATGAAGAAAGTGAGGCACAGAGATATTATATGATTAAACTAAGTCACAGTCAGGGGTAGAGCTGGGATTCAAGCAACATCATTTGATTCCAGGGTTCCAGATAGCTGATTCTCTAAACCAATTAGTTATACTGCCTTGAAGAATGAATAAAGAAATGGTTACCGGCAGAGAGTGTCCCCTTAGCTATAAAAACATGTTATATGACTGTCTGCCTGCCTGCTTGCTAATAAATGTTTAGACATAGAGCAGCAAAATTGATTGGATGGATGGATGGTAGATAAATAGATAAGTATAGTAGATAGAATGAAAGAATGATTCCGGACCCCTGGGAAGCCTATCCCTCATCCCTCTGACTGACTCAGATAGTGCCTTATTTTCAGATGAGATGTTTTTGAATACATGTACAAAAAAACTAAAGTAACCTCATCTTACATGGGGAATTTCTAAAGTGTAATATGAAATCCCTAATTAGAGCTTACCCTTAGACAATGTCTTTAATGTATTTTTACTATTTCATAAACATTTTTATTCCTTTACAGTTGAATATAGAATTAACCAATTTAAGTTGAATATCTGATTAAGTCTAGTTATCTATCTAATAATGTGCAGTTTTTTGCATAGAAGTAGTTTTGCGTGTGTGTGTGGGTTTAATTGATTCCAGAGAGAGAAAGAGAGAGAGAAAGAGACAGAGAGAGAAACATCAGTGACGAGAGAGAAAAATTGATTTGCTGCCTCCAGCATGCTGCACACTGGAATCGAGCCCAAAACCTGGGCATATGCCCTGACTGGGAATCAAACCATGACCTTCTAGTTCATAGGTCAAAACTCAACCACTGAGCAAGCTGGTTAGGTAGTAGTAGTTTTATGAGACCTATGCTTTTAATAGTACTAGTACTTTCAGTTTTCCATTTTCTATTAATTTTTTTTCCAAAATAAGGGAAGTATGTGATAATATATTCATAGTTACACAGACACTGTTCTAAAACAATGCTGCTAAAACTAAACTTGGTTTTGCTGATAATACAAAAGTTTGAATTTAGCATATTAAAGGCAGTTTAGGGGGGATCAATATATAATGGACAAAAGTACACTTCATATGACAGTCAAATGTCCCTTTATAATGTGTTATCTATAATAATAAAAGGATAATACACTAATTAGATCAAATGTCCTTCCTGATGAAGCCTGGGCTGGAGGGATGCCAGCCCGGGTCCTGGGTGCCTGCAGGTGGCCTGAGGGAAGCCAGCCCAGGTCCCAGGTGCCAGAGGGAAGCCAGTGCTGGCAGCCAGGGAAAGGAAGGCCTACACTTGCATGAATTTTTGTGCATCAGGTCTCCAGTCTATAATAATAAAAGCATAATATGCTAATTAGACTGGACAGTCAAACAACCTTCCAAATGTCATTCCAGACATCCTTCCAAATGAAGGCACAGGGGCTGAGACAGAGGCAGTTAGGGGCAATCAGGCAGGCAGGCAAGCAATTAAGGGCAATACTTACTCAACACACAGGCAGAGGGGTTAGGGACGATCAGGCAGGCTGGTGATTGGTTAGGGGTGATCAGGTAGGCAGGCCAGCTGTTAAGAGCCAGTGGTCCCGATTGCGAGAGGGTGCAGGCCAGTCTGAAGGGACCCCTCCCATGCACAAATTTCGTGCACCGGGCTCTTTGGGGAATCTTGCCCTTCAGCTAGCACGTTTGGCAAGTATGTTTGGTTTCCATCAGGCAAACAGCGGTCCCAGTACAAACGGCTGCCAGTTCTTCATCACCTGCTCTAAGTGCGATTGGCTGGATGGAAAGCACGTAGTGTTTGGTGAGTGCTACTCCTGTCTTATGGTCCTGGGCTGCTTCACCCAAAGTGGGACTTTCAAAAGAGCCAGTCCCCGCACTCTCATACCCAGAGGTCTTGACTTGTTTAACTGCTCTCTATGCAGTAATAGGGAAAGTGGAAGTGGAAGCGGAAGTTGGGAGGATGTGTGAAAGGACAAAAGGGCCACCTGATAAAGTGTGTAGCCGCTTGGGTGATATTTAAGAAATACACAAGCAGCATGGTGCAGTGGAGCTTTGCAATCACTCGGATTTAAGTTTGAACCCTAATTCTGCTGCTTACTATCTGTGACTTTGGGTAAGTCATTTCACCTCCATTGAATCTCAATTTCCTAAAATCAGTACGGGGTTCAAATGAGACAGTAGTGTGAGAAGGGGCTTTGGAAACTGGAAAATGCTATGCAAATGAGAATAGTAAAACCCAGTTCATACTCTTCCTACAGGAAAAATCATTGATGGACTTCTAGTGATGAGAAAGATTGAGGTAAGTCCTGTTTTGGTTCCTCTTCCTCGGCCATTCTGGTCTAGTACTACCTGAATAGTATCAAGAACTAGAGAATCCTGAGTGATTTCAGTTTGTTAGGCCCAGTCTTCATCCACTGTGTCTATTACATGGACTTCCTCAAGGGAAGAGAGGAGAGACTACATGCCTCCCAAGTGCTTTTGGCCTATAATTAGCCTCTATATTGTACTTGCGATTTGGGCTGTGGTGGCCCCTTCACTTACCTGATAAAATCATACTCGGCACTGCATTCAAGATCCCTCCTGACCTCATCCCTGCCTCTCTCCACGACCCTTCTGCCACTGCCACCTCCATGTTCCAGTCACAGGGGGCTACTTAAGCTTTCCTCTAAATGTGCCAAACATCCCTGCCTCCTTTTCCTTCTTGCCCCTGAGCCTTTGCTCATGCTGTTTCCTTTACCTGTAATGCTCTTCTCCTTTCTTTTCCTCCTTCCCATTGATCTGTCTTGGTCCAGGTCAAATAACCCGCTGTTCTGTGAATCCTTCCCTGACCTCTTTAAACAACATTTAATTGCTTCCTCTGCCTTGTATACACTTTCTTATAACTTATTACATATCATAGACTTGATTTAGTTTAAATGTACAGTTTTATTTTTTATCTGTATTATATGCTTTACCTATCTGTTAGGACATGGACTGTTGTCATGTCAGTCTCTGAGCCCTCAGTCCTTAGCACAGGGGCTGGCAGACATCAGCAAATGTTTGGTGAGTGCTTGAATCTCCACTGTGCTTTCTGTCTTAGAATGTTCCCACAGGCCCCAACAATAAGCCCAAGTTGCCTGTGGTGATCTCGCAGTGTGGGGAGATGTAATCCAGAGCAAGACGGGATCTGGTAAGTGTGTCTTTCTCTTCCTGGTTTGGAGTCACCCCAGAGAGGGCTGTTTGGTCTAACAGAGAAAACCTTAGACTTGAAGACAGAGGATTGAGCCCATTTCCTCTCTGGGTGAAGTCACTTCCCTTCTCTGAGCCTGTTTCCTCATCTGTCAAATGGAGATAATAACCTCTCCTATGATCACTGTAAGGACAAAAGAGAAAGGGTTATGAGAGCACTTTCCTTTTCTACCACTTTGTAGTTTGCAAAGTATCAAACCAAAAGCTATAAGGCAGTTTCTGATCGCATTCTCAGACTGTAGTCCTACTAGAACATCTGACACCAGCTCTGGGTGACTCCCTGCTGCGTCAGCCTAAGTGCCCAGGAGATAGACCTGTCATGCTTCTCATCAGAACTGATGGGCTATTCAGGTCCTGACTTTATATTTGCCAGCTTCACAGGTAAACATGACACATTTCTCAACCTCAACTCCTACCCATTCTTGCACTGCCGGCTCTGTGCTAGCATCATGCTAGACATGCAGAGGGGGGCAAAGAATTGAAAGATGCCTCTGCCTTTCCGGAGCTTACAGGGAATAAGACCCATTCTGAGAGGTGATCACCAGTAATATGAGTGACATTGCTAAGTGTCAAGAATTCAAGGCAGAAATTGATCCCTTTCAGCTAAAATGGTGGGCACGCTCGCACTCGCTCGCGCGCTCGCTCTCTCTCTCTCTCTCTCTCTCTCTTTCTTTCATTTTCCTCTTTCTCTCTTTCTTTCATTTTCAAACCTGCAGCAAAGCTGGAAAAATAGTACATTCAACATTCATATACTTTTCATCTAAATTCATCAATGATTAACTTTCTTATCATTTTGCTTTGACATTTGATTTTTTTTCTTTCCCTCTCCTTCCCTCATATTCCCATTCCATCTCCCTCCTATCTATGCTTTCCTTCCTTCATTTCTCCCCATTTGAAAATTGAAGACTTCTGGACACTTTACCCATAAATACTTCAGTAAGCAATTGCTGAAAACAAAAACATCCTACATAACCATAATAATATCTAATATACCTGTTCAAATTCTCCCAGTTACTCACAATGTAACTTTTATACCTGTAGGAAAATTCAACCAATCAAGGTTCACATATTTCATTTGGTTGGTTGTTAAGTAACATTATATAATCTTGTAAAAATTTTCACACAAAAGTTAAAGTCCCCAACTCCCCTTGTTACTACCCCAGCCCCAGTCCCACTCCTCTCCCAGAGGTAACTTCTTATCAGCTTGATGTATATCCATCAGGGCCTTTTCTTTGCCTATCTGATTTTGGGAGATTTTGTTTTTCTAAAATGGCATCATGCTATATTGTTCATAATTATTTTCCCATTTGGCATTATGTCTGAAGACTTCCTCTTTCAAATAAAACTACCTCATTTAAAAAAACAAAACTGACATAATATTTGAAAAGATGGTTGTAGCTATAGTTTACTTTTCCTCTTTCTTAATGATTTGAAAGTTATTCATTTGAGTCTTAGTTCTTTATATGTTGTGACTATTTTCTCCAGAATATATTTTAAGAAAAAAATTGGCAGTGTGTTGCTTATCTTAACTTTGGTTATATCCTTTGTTAAACAGAAGTTCTAAATTTTGATGAGGTCAAATTATCACTTTCCCTTATGGCTTTTGGGTTTTATCTTATTTAAGAAGGTCCTTATTACCTCAGATCCTAATGTCTTCTGTATTTTTTCTAATATTTTTTTAGTTCTATTTGTATTACCAACAAAATTATCTAGAATTTATTTTTCTGAATCCTGCCTTTTTCCAAAATGGGGATCTAGTCAAATTCCAGACCACTTTAATGACTGTTTATATCTCTATCTATGACTTTGTGTTCACAGTATGTAGTACTTAGAGGAATCCAGTAAAATGCTGTTACGTGAGTTACAGGGACAGAGAATGTCAGGCATTTCGGGTAGGGAACTGGTGTAAGCAAATGCTGAGGCAGGAATGCACAAGTGTGCGCTGGAAGCTCACATGGACTTCTCTCTCACCCAGCCAGATGGTCCCCTCTGTGCCCAGTTGTCACCTGAGCTTTCCTTTCTGCCAGGACTGGGGGCCCCTAGGGCACAACCTGTATTCCCCTTAAATAGCTGCTGGCCATTTCCTCCCTCCCCGCTTCATTTCTTTGCTGTAACTAAAGTTGAACTCAGAGGTCCTTATCCTTCCAAAGACTGACCACTGATCACTACCAGAGGACAGAAGATAAAAAGAATAAAGTTTAGAAATGTTTTATGTTTGGGGCCTCTTTTCTATATTTTTTGAGTCTCTTATAGAAAGTTAGTAGAAATCCTTGTTGGGAGTTTTATTTCTGAGGGCGGTGATCATCAACCCTCCCCTCCTCACCCACTATGAGCAAAGATCATGTAAGCCTTGCCCCTGAAAGCCCCTCTTCTCAGCCTGCAACCCAAGCAGAACGGATTCCACGGGGTGATTTGCTGTTCCAGAGGCCCTCTCGACCAGTATTGTCCAGGAGACATTCCTTTCTGTGGTGGGGAAATGTTTTCCATTTGTACTGTTACGGTAGCTCCCAGCCGCATATGAAATTGAACACTTGAAATGTGCTAATGTGACTGAGCAACTTACTTTTTAATTTTATTTAATCTTTTATAAGATTTTTTAATTGATTTTTTAGAGAGATGAAGAAAGAAAAATGTCGATTTGTTGCTCTGCTCACCTGTACACTCATTGATTGACTGTCGTATGTGGTCTTGACCCAGGATCAAAACCGCAACCTTGGTATATCAGGAAAATGCTCTAACTAACTGAGCTGAAATACTTTTTTTTACTTATTTATTTATATATCTATCTATCTACCTATCCATTTATTTATTGCATCTGAATAATTTTTTTACTTTTTTTTTTTTTTTTTTTTTTTTTACTTATTGAGACAGAGAGAGAGAGGCAGACAGAAAGAGAGACCGAGAGAAACATCAATTTGTTGTTCCATTTATTTATGCACTTATTGGTTGCTTCTGAAACACTTTGTTTTAGATCTCTCTTGTATTTTGCCTTGGATTCTGAGTTTGATTTTAGTGAAAGTGAAGTTTTCTGTACAGCTTTAGATGTAGAAACCTTGGTTTTATCTTGTGGTCCTGTAAACTTTTTATAACCAATTTGATACATAGATACATAGGTGAATCATGGCCCTCATGATTCTCCTCTCATAGTCCAAACTATTCTACTTTCATAGGAGCTGGTGGAACCTCTGTTTTGAAAGCCTGAGAGTCTCTTGGAAAAGGGAGTAGCTGTTGGTTCTGGCAATCTTGCCAGAGTGAATTGCTGCTCGTCTCCCTGTGATCTCCAAAGCTGGTATTTGTGGCAAGCAGTAGAGAACTTACTTTACTTCATTGTTTCCCAAACTCCCCTAAAGAGAAGAATCACTTAGGGGCATTTGAAAAACCTACTGATTCCCAGGCCCTCCCTCTGGAGAGTTTGAGTTAGTTTAAGATGGGACCCAGGATGCTATGGTTGTAAAGAGCATTTCAAATGCTGCTTTCAGTGGTGCTGGAATTAATGTTTTTTAATATTTGCATCTGAGTAAAAAATAGATAATTGGCCGAAACCGGTTTGGCTCAGGGGATAGAGCATCAGCCTGCGGACTGAAGGGCCCAGGTTCAATTCCGGTCAAGGGCATGCATGTACCTTGGTTGCGGGCACATCCCCGGTAGGGGGTGTGCAAGAGGCAGCTGATCAATTACTCTCTCTCATCGATGTTTCTAACTCTCTGTTTCCCTTCCTCTCTGTAAAAAATCAATAAAATGTATTTTAAAAAAAATAATTAGCACAACATATTCTATATAATAAAGAGATGATATGCAAATTAACCCTCAAGCCCTCACAAGATGTCTGCCTATGACCAGGCCAGCGAGGGAGTTAGTGAGGGATCACGATTGACTGAACAACAGGCTGTGTGTGTGTGGGGGGGGGGACTTGAGGGGCTACCAGGCTGGCAAGGGGGGAAGCTGGGGCTGGCAGGCGGGGCAGTTGGGGGCTACCAAGCTGGAGGGAGGGCAGTGAGGGGCAACTAGGTCGACAGGGGGATAGTTGGGGGCGACCAAGCCAGCAGAAGGGGGCAATTGTGGGTTACCAGGCCGGCAGGTAGGTAAGCAATTAGGGTCCAGCGGTCCAGGATTGTGAGAGGGATGTCCGACTGCCCCCAAGGGATCCTGGATTGGAGAGGATACAGGCTGGGCTGAGGGGATCCTCCGCCTCCCCGCCTCTCCCCTCCTGCACGAGTTTTGTGCACCGGGCCTCTAGAATTTTATTATTATTATAGCTTATAATGAGGCATTGAAGTTCAAATAGTGATTAGGTTGGAAATTAATCGTACCTGTGGATAGTGGATATGGTAATGGTTGTGAAAGTGCTATTTGGAATAATTGAGATTTAGGAAACACTGTCTCCCACTCTGAGATATCCTGTAGATGTGATACATGCCTGCAGAGAAAGGTTATGAAAGACACGTTGATGGCACATTCACTGGTCCTTCATTGTACAAATCAGTACTAATTAATTAAATAGATCCCAAACTGGGCGATCACTTCCTAAGGGATGTTAATGTCTAATCATTATGCCATATACCTGGAGCTAATTTATAATATTATTGTTTGTCAACTATAATTGGAAAACAAAGTTTCCAAAAAAGGTAGGTCCCATACTACATATAAGGCTACAAATTTGAAAAGCCCAGCTCCTGCCTTCAGGGAACTCACAGTGTCTTGGGAAACTGACAGCTATAATACAACAAAGCACTGGACTGGAGGCTTTAGGACAAAGTGAGGAAAGTGTGAATGTCTGTGTCTGCCTGGCATGGTTGTGAAGACTGCAGAAGAGGTAATGCTTCCCCAGAACCTGTCAGGTGGCTGGAAGTGGGGAGGGCATTCCAAGCAGAGGAACAGCATGAGCAAAGCACAGGAGCAGGAAACAGCAGAAAGTGTGTG